GCCAAAAGCATACTCACTTCTTCCTCATTATATTCATTTACATAAACAAGCTCATCAGTTGAACTGCTGCGTGAGATGCGCCATCCCAAGGGAGGTGTCTGCCACTGGAACAATAATCAATACTCGTCTTTATTATCCAACTGTAGTGAATACCGTCCAAATAACAGTACAAATATACAGCAATATTGTACAGTTATTTGTACAGTAGAAAACCTGTTTGTTGGACAGGTCACCATGCACACGCAAAACTGTCACACTCTCCCTCTTTCACTGATAAATTTATGGACTACGGCAGTCGAACAATAAATCTCCTATTATATGTTTTGGTGTGTAGTATCTCTGTATGTTTTTACTCGTTGTTTGTATTTTGACTCACCCTATGGGCTCGTCAAAACACGGCACAACTCGTAAAAATATAATAATAATAATAATAATAACAATAATAATAGTAATAATAATAATAACTATAATAATAATAATAAACAGCGATACTACAAACCAAAACATCTAATAAGATATGTTTTCCCTGTACAGACCACGTGATATTCTCTAGAGAATTGTTCTTTCATCAATCACAAAATTACTTATTCATATACACACAACTATTTGAAAATTTGAAAGGAAGAATTCTCAAGAGTATCATCACACGGTCTGAAATGGGACAACAAACCACCCAGTCAAAAAAGGTCTATCGTGGCTTATTATCTCTCAGTTAGTAAACGCGATGAGATTGGTCAATTTAGCAGGCCGTACTCTCTTGTATGGCCCGCTAAAATTTAAAGTTGGTTTTGTTGCCAAACTGTTTCATGATTTATCGATAAGTGTTCTTAACTTTTATAGCGAGTGAAAGTTTAAAACTTTCTTATACTCTAAATTATGTAATAAAGCGTGCTAATGAATTAAAAACAGTTCCAAACTGACTTGTTTTGCTTTTGAGGTGTATCAGAAATTTGAAGCTTTTCGAGTCTGCATGAATAGAAATCGTTTCCGAACCCATCAGGCACACAGTAGAGATACAATAAATATCTTACTAACCTCGCCTTCTCGTTCCATACTGTAAGTTATGGATCCTCGTTTTTTCCCCTTCAATTTATGACCAATGTGCTTCGCGCTTGGGCCATAAATCGAAGGGGGAAAAACTCGGTCCGTAACTTACCGTACAGACCTCGCACCCAATTAGTAAGAGGTATTGATGAAACATAACTCACCACATAAAGTTGCCCAGTATTGCATGCAGCTATGTGCATTATGTAAATGGAGATTTTCATAACACAGGTATTCATGATGAAAAATCACAGGAAATTACTTGAATGCAGTCCAAACTTCAGAAATAACTAATACAAGGGATTTGTAAGTAAACTAGGGTAAATGGAAATTTACTAAAAACACTTTTTGTAAGGTTCATTCATTGCAAAAACAATTCATGATGGAAAATGTGGCAACTATAAAAAGTGAAATATTATGCATACAGTACAGT